TTTTTAAAGATAAAGTTCTCAATATAACAAATAAAGCAACAAAACGTGTAAAATTCAACTTAAAAGCTGACTATATACATCCGGTAACAAAATCGTATGCATCTGTATTATACAAACATTGCTGACTGTGTGTGACAAAATTTCTAAAGTTCCTCAACAGAAAAGCACAACCATTCGTTCCGCCATCTTGGCCGACCCCGACCCTTTAAGTCTAACGCACCTTTTGTTTGGAGTGTTCGGTAAGTTCCGTCACGATATATACGTCATTCAAGCCGACCAATCAGGTTGTGAACGTATCACATGCCTTTAGGTTAGCTGTCTTTAAGTTCGCTGTCAAAAATGCCAATGTGAACACTAAGTGGACCAGGACCCAATGTATAATTTTCCTTTTTGGTCTGGACCAAATTAACCAAACGAACCGAACTACAAGTGTGAACACACCCTAAAGCTTAGCTGTGTGCAGTGAATAGCCTGCAGTTATTGCATGTGAGCTTATGCTGGAAAAGCTTTTCATGAACTTTCTGTGAATACCAAGCACAAATATTGCCAGACAGCTCTGCTTAGCAGCTGCCTCAAGGGATGAGAAAATGTGTTCGCAATGACATCAGCTCCTTCCTACAGACAGCAGCAGTGTGGGCTGGGGGGATGGGAGCCGTGGGATTCATGGAAAGAAGGGAGTAGCTGATACTCTCACAAAACAGTTGACCATGACAAGTTGCCAGGCATCTCCTCAACTCTGGCTAATGATGATGTTTCCCAAACAGCAACTAGAATTATACCAAACTTCATGTCAGAACTGCAGCAGAATTAAACTAAGACTGCTGCTAAACATAGTCTTGTTAAAGGAGATTGAAAATAAAATAAATTCTGGTCCACAGCTAGGTCAAAGCTGGTCCACATACTAGGGGTTGCACCGACTAATCAACTTGTCGACTAGTCGACTTCAATGCTCTGCCATGACGCTTTAAGCTTGACGTCGACTAGTCGCTGGTCCTATAGAGGGCGCAACAGGATAAGAAATCTTTGAAGGACTTCCACATTTACGCTCCGACTCCAAACAGTTTAAAACGGACCGGCTGTACGTGGGGGAGGAGATATATATATATAGATAGATAGATAGATAGAGAGAGGCTATTATATAGTATTATAATAGCATTATAGTGGTTCAATGCATTATATTGTGTTTTTTTTTTTGGAGTCACAGATCGGACTATTTTTTCGGATAAGAAAAAACATATTTAAAGCACAGAGAATGACAATGCCGTGAAGGGTTTTTTGGACAGGCTAATTTTATGTGTATTTATACGCAACTCGGTATCTCCGCGCTGTCTGAAACACATCTCTTGTGCGCGCTTTGATTGTGTGCGAGAACAGCGCGTGAGTAACGAATTGAGCTCTCTTTCGTTTCTTCGTCTTGTGGTTTAAAATTGCTTGTACGTGTAAAGTGGCAGATTAATCTGCGAATCACGTGCGTGCCGAACGGTAGGGTCTCATCCGTACGTATTACGGATCAACTGCGATCCGTTTAACTCCTAATATGTGACAGATCAGAGCAATCTTTCATTTACTTATTTAACATGAAATTGTCAAATTGCTACTCCATATCAATCGCATACAAAGAAAATACAGAATAATTAGAACAATCATTAACATAAATAAATAACAGAGTTCTTGCGACCCCGTAGCAATTCTTCCACGGCCCGGTAATGGGTCGCGACCCGGTGGTTGGGGACCTCTGCACTAGAGAGATATATAGGCTACAACTACATTTACAAACCCACTAAGCAAGCAGGTCATGCCATAAGTGTGTCAATGGCAACACAGACAAGTAGATAGTCGACTGCAACTATACTCATAACTTGTTGCAATTTTGTTGTCACTCTTTCATAATCAAAATATGCAAGGACAGAGCTGTATTTAGGATTCCATAGGACTGACAACTGTATTTTGACAATTTCTGCTCAGCACAGTGTATGTCACATGTTCACATATATTAAAGCTGCATTCAGTAGTTTGGTGCTAAAATGGTGCTTAAAATGCTGTATACTGTACATTAAGAAATAAATAGTGTTTTTATGAAGAGTCATTTGAATAATGAACACTCACATGACATGAAAACTGTACTCAATAGTTTTCTATAAAAGTTTTTAAATTAGCCTATATATGGTGCAGGTCACCTCAATGTATTTCACCATGTTGAAATGCCGTGACCTGCTGTGTTTCACTAAATGGAGTGAATCCCCGTGCTGGCGTGCCCAATGGCTGCCGCCACTATAGATACGTCAGTAGTGTAGTTTAGCGATGGGAAAAGCAATTTATCGTGTTGTACCAGCTTATTATTTACATGTTATTATCATGTTTTACCAGCAGAGACAACGGTCGGGGGAATCAGTACCTGTATGACCAAAGACGACGAAACACTCATAAACAAGGTGGAAAGGTTTGATTACAAAGAAAATCCTGAGTAGTGATGCCTAAATTGCATCTATTTTTGTTGGACAGGTAGTGAAATTGATTATTATGTAGATTGCTGTCTAAAACTAGTATCAGTGCAATTTAAATAAAACTCAGAGATGATCATACTGATCCACGCTGATAGATGGCAGTGCAGCGTATACCACCATTGTGCTATTAGTACTTATGAGGAACAGCGATGCTAACATTAAAGGGGTCATATGATGCGATTTCAATTTTTCCTTTCTCTTTGGAGTACGGACTGTAAGTACGTTTTTTATAATTAAAGAGTTTTTATATTTTTTATATTTAAAGCAAGTTTTTTGGGCAGTGTAGAGGTAATGTACAGTATGTGGAAAATAATGTTTTTTTTAAACCTTAAACCGCATAAACACATTTCATTACACCAAATACACAAAATAATGTTATTTTTAGCAACGTCATATGACCCCTTTAACTAAAGAACTACTGAATGCACCTTTAAGACACTGTGCTCAAATTAACAAATTAACTTTACTGATCTAAGATCACATTCAGAGCTGACTTGAATAATCCAGCATTATCATACAGATAGCATCATGTGGGCCCGTGTTTCCTCAGCACCACTGCTAGGGCTCTTTAGTACTGCTGATGAGTAATTACTAGGTGAATGGGTATGGAAATTTCCAGCAGACAAGGACCTTATAGCTGTCTCGCTCTTGTACAAACCCATGGTCATTACCAGCAGGCAATTAAAGAAACTCTGAGCTCTAATTAAAGCAATGCCTTGGGGTTTCACTAAGAGCATCTCTAAATGAAAAGTGATATTGAAATGAAGACAATGTGCCCCTGAGAACAGTCTAGATCCATGCTAAATCTGTCCTCTGAATGTGTCTACAATAAACAGGCAAGTTGCCATCAGTATGCATGAGATGGTACCAGATGGCAAACCAGTTTGTGATGTTCACTGCTACTTATCAGGTTTCATTCTGGGCATCTAATGAGCGAGACCTTTAAAAGTAAATCACTGACCTGAAAACATCTCAGAAACGATTAGCAGACAGTTAAAATAGGCACCAAAGATGTTTTCAGATATTTAAATCCATGTTTGACATGGATTTAAAAAGGCCAGAACGCTGTTTTTGCTGTAGAGCTGGAAATCTTACGGACACATTGTTTAAAACAGCTGACAGCTGCCTGAGCTGCCAAGGTAAAAGTTGTCAAAAGTAAAGTTAACAGAAAGACAAGAATATATTTTCACTGTTAATCACAGTGGTGCTCTGAAACACATCATGGTCACTCAAGACTGACATTAAGGCTATTTCTGCTGATCTCTGTCACTATAAAGTATTAACTGACAGTGGTTTTCTAGGTCACTAGACAAACAGAAATATACTATGCAGTTACTGTAGACTGTAGTTATTATTCTCAGTGGGTCAGCCCATGAAAATCCCATTACATCTAGGCGACATCAATTATATATTGAAATTATTGGTTTGATTTAAAAATGCATCATGTTTCAGTGTTTGATGACTTCATGCAGAATTTTCTGCGCTTTACTGAATCCCCTCAGGCCAGCACTGCAGCAGTGACACTAAGTGCTGTCATAAACACCTAAACTTTTATAATTAAAAAAAAACTATGCCATGAAAGACACAACAGAAATACAATTCACAATTGTACTGAAATCTAACTTTTCGATTACAATTATGATTTTCAGCTGCTTGTTTATTGTGTACAAACAAGCAAATTATATTATCAGTAAACGTTTACTATTTTAAGCAAATGAACATCTCATGTGTAACCTGAAAAAACACACTTGGTTCGGGTCACATGACAATTGTATCTGCGTAGTTCAACTCTACCAGGCGAGTTCAACTCGCTTTTTCAAAGCGAGGACTCTGCTTTGGCGTATGACACCGCACCATGACATTCCTGTGCTCTCACACTGAAGTGGGAGAGAGAGTAAATCAGCAATGACGTTGAGCCATGGAGGGACTCTACAGTTACCAGGCTTGATGTGTCCTATCAAGTCCTATAGCAATGCCAGATTAACACTGGGCATGTTCAGGTATATTTACCTATATATACACATTATAATGTTATGCAAAAATATGTTTCATAATGAAATTGTAGATAGATAATGCAGGACAATAAAACCAACAATGGTTTGCATGGGGAGAATAATGCAGCCAAATTTAGCAGCTGTGCAGGTTAACAAGGGCAGCACTTATTTTGGACTCGGTGGGGTTGATACCAAATGAAGCCCATTAATTTACTCTGTAAGTCCATGCAAATGAGGGCACAAAGGCCAAAGGGTGGTCTGGTGTTGAGACTGAAGTAAACCTGTCTAATCTAAGTCTAGGTCTGTCTATTCTTGGGTTACAGAAGCCAACTGATAAAACAACCCTGTCTGCTTTGATGGCCAGTCAGGAGATGTCAAGAAAGAGTGGGAAAAAGCACACAGGTGCAAAAAACTGACTAAAAGCCTATTTCTGGCCAATAGCCAATTGTGGGTGAAAATACAAGGTGGAAACCTAAAAAACTGAACGATGAAGAACACATACCTCCTTAAGACCAATCTTGGCTGTGTAAATGATGTTGGATCCATCTCTTTTGAAGAGTGGGTGCCCTTTGTCTTTGAGCACAAATGCAATATCAGCAGGAATGTTTTCAGGTGTCTCATCACCCTCTTTGGGGAAGGTGATCTTGGTCCCTTCCTTCCAGCCTCTCTTGATGACAATGTTAAGGATCTTGTCCTCTGTCCTCATTGTCCTTCCATCTGGGTTCAGCCTTCGGCGAGTGATTCGCATCCGCTTGGTACATCCATGGAAGATCTCCTCTAGAGACACTTTAAGCTCATGTACCACTGGTGGGTCCTGTACTTTCCTCCGGCCACCATGAAGAGGCTCATTACGATGTCTTCGACCTCCACCGTGATGAAAACCGTTGATACCATTGAAGCCAAAGTGGCTAAAGGAACTGAAAGGATCATCATCTCCATCCATGTCAATGTCCATGTCATGATCGCCACCATGGTCATTAGTGCCATTGGTGGTTCCCCGTTGGCGTCCAGAGCCAAAGAATATATCAAAGGGGTTGGAGCCTCCAAAGAAAGAAGCAAAGGTGGCATGTGGATCCCCATGGAAGGTGTAGTGATATGTGGTCCCTTGTCCACTAGATGAGCCTGTGCCACCTGTTTTCAAACCTAGACGGAAATACACAGGAGGAACAATGCATCAGGGTTTTCTGTATTTACAAAGTTATTTTAAGTTCTGCTTAAATCCACAGGTTAGCATCTTCTGTGACAGTTTCAGGTTAGCAAACACTAGCTTCCAGTAATGATAGCCAAGTCTTTAAAAAAGTATAACTTTGTCATCTCATAAGTACACCAAGGATCGATGGAGCCATATTAAGGGCATCACCGACTTAGTGAGTCTGCCACAGCTGCGTGAGAAAAGTGGATTTAGGACTACAGTTGCCTTGAAAAGTAAATTCTGCTCGACACTGATAAAACCTAAGCCACTTTCTATGAAAATGTTAACTAAAATAGGATGACTTCTAACTATAATGGCCTACTGCATACAATATTTTAGGAATTCAAGACTGTATAAGTGTAGATTCCTCAATATACAATGACATTTTTTCTCAAAAGAAGCAAGTTCATTGACACAGCCTAGTTGGACCTGTCAACCTATACCAATGGATGCCAACTCCAAGATGATTCTTTGACTCGTACCCTCTACACTACTAAGAGGACAGTCTACTTTATTGTATTACAACTACTTGAAACGGACAAAAAGTTTAACACCTCGATGACAGCTATTTCTATTTGTTTAGTGAAAACAGAAAAACACTGAAATGGTCTGACTGCAACTTCTGAATTATTATAACAGCCCTACAAATTGGCAACTGAGATGTTAATTCTAAACTTCTGCTGGATAATTATCAAGTGCTAGCCTACAGTATGACATAGCATAGAATAGCATTTGATTTAGTCTGCAACTGCTCACACATCACATTTTGAGGTGTAAAGCTCAACAGAAGACCTGCCAAGTCTTTCTCTGTTTCTTTTCTCCACCCCCACTCAGTTTGGTTACAAAATCAGATTGCTGGACAAAGAACAGAAATACGATTTTAAACAAGCGGCTACTTCATTTCTATTAATGTCCCTTAGCTGGCTTCTCTTGGTGGCCTGGTTCTGAAAAAAATATTTTGGCAAGAACATGCAGTACAAATCCTGGACAAGTGATGAAACTGAGTGGAAGACCACAGCATGGTGTGTAAGTGCTCTTTAAGCTCTAGTGTCTGAACTGTGTTTTGAGGTTCACTGCAAAACTATCTTATTCACAAAATTAGAAGTACAGAAAGAGCAGGTCAATTAGGATCAAACAATCTTTTATTTTGTGCTTTTCAGTTCTGTTAAAAAAACATTAACACCCATGCGTTATGGTGGGTGATTGATGGCTTGTAACAAATGCACTCCTTCTAACGATCAGGACACAAGCTGACTCATCTTCCAACTTCACATCTTCAACTCTTCAGTCTGCCTACTTAACACCTTATAAAACACGTTTCCACCTCATTCTTTGCAACTTCAATGAACTCCTCAGGCCAAAACAACTAATGGGGGGATGGTTATTAAAGTGGGTCATTTGGGAATAACAGATTCATAGGCCTATACCAGGGATCCTCAAATCTGGCCCACGAGATCCACTTTCCTGCAGAGTTTAGCTCTAACCCTAATCAAACACACCTGAGAATGCTAATCAATGTCTTCAGGATCATTAGAAAATCACAGGTAGCTGAGTTTGATCAGG